TCCTGTACGGACTGACTATAGTCAAGATCACAGGTTCCGTGAGAGGAGAGTCGAGAGTGGTGGTGGGTGGAGAGTGAAGAGTGGAGGGTGGTGAGTGGTGGGTGATGAGTGGAAAGTAGTGGTGAGTGGAGGGTGGTGAGTAGTGGGTGGAGAGTGGTGGGTGATGAGTGGAAAGTGGTGGAGGGTGGTGAGTGGTGGTGAGTGGAGGATGGTGAGTGGTGGGTGGAGAGTGGTGGGTGATGAGTGGAGAGTGGTGGTGAGTAGTGGGTGGTGAGTGGGTGGAGTGGTGGTGAGATGAGTGGTAAGTGGTGGTAAGTGGTGAGTGGTGGGTGAGGATGGTGGGTGATGATGGAGTGGTGGGGTGGTGATGGTGAGTAGTGGTGATGGTGAGGAGTGGGTGGGTGAGATGGTAGGTTGATGAGTGGTGATGGTGGTGATGGTTATTGGTGGTGGTGTGGTGATGAGTGGAAGTGGTGGTGAGTAGTGGTGGTGATGGTGACGATGATGGAGTGATGGTGAGTGGTGGGTATGATGGGATGTGGTGGTGGAGTGATGATGGTGAGTGAGTGGTAAGATGAGTGGTGGGTATGAGTGGATGATGATTGAGAGTGGTGGGTGTAAGGTGGAGAGTGGTGGTGATTGAGGTGGTTGAGTGGTGGGTGATGAGTGGAAAGTGGTGGTGAGTGGAGGATGGTGAGTGGTGGGTGATGAGTGGAGGGTGGTGAGTGGTGGGTGATGAGTGGAGGGTGGTGGGTGGTGAAGGGTGGAGAGTGGTGGTGATTGGAGGGTGGAGAGTGGTGGGTGGAGGGTGGTGAGTCATGAGTAGAGAACTGTGAGTACAGAGTCGGTGTTTTAGAGTAAGCAAACTACTGAAATATGCCGAAACGGGGGTTCTCCAGGGCCAGGCTCAGGAACCTGTTGTGTTGAAAGTACTCTAAGTACAGTTCTGAGTGTTTTATGTGGGCTATAGATTTATCTTGTAGTCTTTCTGTAGAGCTCCGCCTTGTTTACACGAGGACCCGAATCGTTATCTCGACGTGAACTACGCTGTCGATTTTGACATTTTCCAGTGAAAGCTCGGCAACACTTTATTTGAAGGGCGCGTACACGCGAACTCCGTAACGCACTCGTTCGCATTACGTGAAGCTTTTCTAAAACCACGGTGGAGGCTTTATGAAAGGCTTGTGTCAGACCTCGTCAGGTGACATCACCGGCGTTCTGCAGGGAGTCCCGTCGGAGTGGAGAGAACAGCGGTCCAGTTCATAAAACGTTCACAAACATTGCCCAAGTCCATCATTTCAGCATCGGACAGTTTATAAAGATCTGTTTGTCGAGTGTTGTCAGGTGGCGTAGTTTTATGCGATATCTCGGGTTCGGAGCGGAGACAGGTAGAGAAGACATGAGGACGTTCTGTAGGAGCTTTGGGATGTGTTGAAATATCTAAACTTATCTTTTTTTTTTTTTTTTTTAACTGTTTACTTAATCTCTTCTTCCAGTGGTATTGTTGAGTCATGTGTTGGCGTGTGTTCATGTCCGTTACAGGGAGTGGACCTGCAGAAGCTGATCGATGCCGGATCGTTCATCTGCCGCTCTCTCAACAGACGAACCAGTTCCAAAGTTGCTCAAGCTTCGTGTAAACTGTGACCTCAATTCAAGTGTGTGTGTGTGTGTGTGTGTGTGTGTGTTTTTATCTGCCTGTTTGGAATTTCATACCTTTTGCCTAATCTAATAAGGACCATGCCACTCGGGTATTGTTCATTCTGATCGTGTCGCTTTTAACTACAGTCATTCTCTCTCTCATTCTCACTCCCTCTTTCTTTCTCTCTCTCATTCTCTCTCCCTTTTTTTTTTCTTTCTTCTTTCTCTTTTCATTCTATCTCTCTCTCACTCCTTCTTTCTCTCTCTCACTCTCTTTCTCTCTCATTCTGTCTCGCTTCTCTCATTCTCTCTTCACTCTCTCTCTCTCTTTCTCTCTTTCTCTCTCTCTTCTCTCTCTCTCTCTCAATCTTTCTCTCTCTCTCTTTCTCTCTCTCTCGCTCTCTCTTCTCTCCATTCTCTCTCACTCTCTCTCTCTTCTCTTTCATCTCTCTCACTCTCTCTCTCTTCTCTCTCACTCTCTCCTCTCTCATTCTCTCGCCCTCTTCTCTCTCTCAATCTTTCCCTTTCTCTCTCTCTCTTCTCTCTCTCTCATTCTCTCTCGCTCTCTCTCATTCTCTCTCTATTTTCTCTCACTCTCTCATTCTCTCTCGCTCTCTCTATCTTTCTCTTTCTCTCTCTCTCATTCTCTCATTCTCTCATTCTCTCTCTCTCTCTCTCATTCTCTCACTCACTCTCTCTTTCTTTCTCTCTCTCTCTTTCTCTCGCATGCTCTCTCTCTCTGAATCTGCCATTTCCTGTAACAGACATAAGGAGGCCCTGATTAGCCCTGTAGAGCCTAATGAACGGATGCAGGAGATCGTGTGTTCTTTAACCTGCACCACACACTGTTTCCAGCCAAAACACACTTTCCATTTGGTCCCATTATTGAAGGAAGCCGCATGAATCAGTGGCTTGTTTTCAGAAGATGTTTGTACCTGAGGATTTCTCATGAATAGGTCTTGTAATCACACACGCACGCACACACACGCACACACACACACGCACACACACGCGCGCACAAACACACTTTTCATGTCTGTTTATTAGGCAAGTTCGGTGAGAGACTGCTTCTCGTCTGGATGGCTTGGATTTGACAGCCTGTGTGTGTGTGTGTGTGTGTGTGTGTGTGTGTGTGTGTGTGTGGGTACAGTCGGGTATAAATATACAGAAGCAAGTGTTTAAACTGTCTAGTGTACTTATAATCAGGGAAGCAGCTCCAGTTCTTCTTGATGGCTCGATATTGTCGTTTTCAGTGCTTAACGAACCTAAAAATCACGTGACGGCTTTATTTCCCGATAAACCGCCGACGTGAACAGCGGTCGCTCGCCCGCCGTTTTCTTTTTCTTTTTTTTCCCCCGTAAGCAGTGCGATTTGTCGTAACCGCCGATCCACGGTCCGGTCCTGTTTCGAGCCCTAATATGGTCCTGCAAAAGCTGCATCCTTTCCAGAAGCGCTTACGGCAGTCATTTCAGGAGGTCTCCGGAGCCAAAAGTCACCGCTGGCTCTCACATTAATATCGCTCAGTATTGCCAAGATACAGCCAAGACGAAAACAAATACATGACCTTAAGAATTATGAGCATAGAAGACCCGAACGGCCTCATCTGCTCAAATCCGAGTCGCTAATGCGCTGCGAAGGAAAACCGGAACTGGAAAAACGCCGTATACCGCAGCGCCGTTCGATTCTCGATCCTGATTGGTCGGAAGGTGGTGAATTTAAATGTAACGGCAGATTTACTTTTAGCGTTTCGATTGATCCCGGGTTCATGTTTATCTGTAACGACGGGGCAATTCACAAATCACGTTACTGAATCCGTTTCACGTTTTTTGGAAGGAGTCTCCAGTGTCGGTCGTAGATAAAGCAACAGTTTCAAGTTTTTCGGACGTCTTCAGGACTGAGGAGTTTACGCTTTGCGTTTCACGGACGATCAACAACATTAAATGTAACACTAAACGGATAAACAGTCAAACCTTTTGTTTTTTATTATTAAATTTAAGAAAAAATAAACTCTTGTGGGGGGGTAGCAAGGAGATTTGTGTTGTGGGGGGGGGTCTTTCTTTCAGAAAACTACTTAAAGCAGCGAGATCGTGATGGATTAATCGACACCTGACCAATCAGAAGCCGGAATTGAACAGAACGGGCATCGCACATCCCTAATCAGTCCATACAGGATTTCAGAGGGGTTTATTTATTTAAAAAAAAACAACTTTTGGACATGCCTTATTCGCCTATTTTCGTCGACTGATGCAGCGACCGTTAAATCAGGAACGCGCTAAAGAATTTTAAGCCTCATCGGCATGAGGAAAAGCCCGCGCTAGTCTTTTTCTACTTCTGTGAAGGAAACCCTTCCTGTAGCACGCGTTCTCCCGACGAGACGCAGCAGGACAGACCTCGCTCCGCTGTTTAATTTATCCTGTACATGTTTCGGCGGTTCTCACGGCCTGACAGAAGACAGACGCTTCACGCTGCTGACGTAACGTCGGGAGAACGTTTATTACAGTCTGCACACGCTAATTTCATTTCCTCATCCGTGTACGGACCTTCGGTGTGTGTAAATTCGATTGTACATGCATTCTTTTTGGAACCACTTCATGCTTTGCCGATGTACCTCTCGGTTATTTACTGACTCGATCAATGCTGTGTTGAAATAAACGGTGGTTGTGTAATAAGGAAACCAGTTTGGCTTCGTGTTCATGTGCTTGATTGTGATTCGGAGGCGCTCGTTAAAAAAAGCGTGTCATCAGTGCAGCCGGAGAAAAGCGGTCCGTTTATATAACGTCTCGTTTAAAAGGAATGTTATCTACTTCCTGAACTCGCGTTTTTTTGGTTTTTTTTTTCTTTCCGCATTTCGTTTCAGACATCGGAGACACAAGCTTCCTCTTTTAAATCGCAGGCTACTGTAGTGAAGGAAAGCTAATCGCAGGAACGTCCGCGAAAGCCGAGCGTCTAAATCCTTCCCCTTGTGGGATCTCATCTTTGAAAGAAACGAAAGGCTTTTTGCGGGACGGTGGGTGTGTCTACGGGACACAATCTGTGCCGCGCTATCCGGCATGTCAGTTCAATTTCACGTAAGGGGAAGTATATGACTCGACGCTAGAGGTGTGACTTGACGACGAACGACACGTTGAGAGTTAAATACCCCGTATCGAGAGTCGCTATGACCGTCTTTAGCTCGAACGTCCATCCGTTTATCCTGCACAAGGTCGGGGGACACCCCGGACGCGGTCCCCACCCATCGCAGTACACGATCGCACACCGACGATTTGGAAATGCAAATCGCGTGTCTACGACGCATGTCTTTGGATTGCGGGAGGAAACCGGAGAACCCAGAGGAAACCCCTGAAGCACGTGGAGAACATGCAAGATGGAGGTGGGATTCCAACCCCCAACCCCGTGGGTGTGAGGCAAACGTGCTAACGACTAAGCCACCACCACCCCCCCAGTCCTTCTGACTTATTGCGTCACTTTTTATGCTTTCTCACAGTGTCCTGTTTTTCTCGATCTTCTGTTTATTATGCTTAGTCATCTCTCTTGCGCTAGCATTCCCGATGTGTCTCGATACACTGGAACTCGATGATAAAGCGATCTTGTTGATTCATTTCCGCCCAGACCTACCTGCACAAGCACATAGCACACGAGCCTCACCATCTCGACGTATGTATTCCTTCCTAGGAACTTTATTTGGAACGTGCTAACCGCTAAGCCACCGTTCGACCCCCTGTTTGTGTGGGACCTCCACAAAGAGGAACCATGCAATGCAAATATGTGATGATTTAGACCTCTGATTTTATTATTATTATTATTATTATTATTATTATTATTATTATTATTGTTGTTCTGTAGGATGCTATACTGGTTGGTCTTAGCTTTGCATACTTGTTCGCTGCATCAGCCCTGTATTTCAAATTAGTGACAAAACTCACATCTTGTGCTGGTTGTCTACAATTGGAATAGAGTTAGAAACTGCACACTTTTCCTCTTCTCGTTTTAATCTTTATTTTCTGGATTCGAGACGGGTAAGTTCTGTCAAAAGAAGTCCCGCGCGCTAGCTCGTGAAACGAGACGGGGCCGCTTCAGGGGAGGTTTCCGTCTGAACACTCAGGGGGCCCAAAGCAAGCGGCGGTTTACGTTTGCACACTCGTTCAGTCCCTGGAGAAATGTATCCACCTACCGGCACGTCTTTCGAGAGGCGGGAGGAAACCTGCGAAGCTCCGCAGAGACGGTAACCACCCGAGCACAGGATCAAACCGGGGACCTCGGGGATCCCGGAGCCGTGAGGTGGGTTTGTGTCGGGCAAATAGTTTCAACCGGACTGTTATACGAGTCGAATCGTAAAACACTTTCCATTGTTTGTACAACTGGAACTCATCTGTCTTGCCTGACCGCATACTATCTATCTATCTATCTATCTATCTATCTATCTATACATGAATGTGTCATATGTTTACACGCCCTTACAGGTGCGTCACCAAAGAATGTTCTTTTTACAGTTGACTCTCGGCAATTTAGCAAACGTTCTTCTTGGCCGTTCTTCTTGGAGAATTTCGCACCAACAGAGCCTGGCAAATCGTTGTAATGATCTGATCCTTTCTCAAAAATGATAGACATGATTGATGTGATGCTGTTTATTACATAAGACAAGATTCACAACATAGACATGACATTCCGTGGATGTTCTAAATTACAGACAGGTGGCAATGATCTCCATATGCTCTTTGTAATGATGAGTCGGATTTTTTTCCCCCTGCGTATCCTAGCGTGTTAGGAAGTTGGGGTCAGTGCGCAGGGTCAGCCATGATACAGAACCCGCTGGAGCAGAGAGGGCTAAGGGCCTTGCTTCAAGGACCCAACAGTGGCAGCTTGGCAGTGCTGGGGTTCAACCCCCCGACATTCTGATCAGTAACCATCTAGTAGGATTCATGTTTAACCCCATCACGTCGTCATGTTCCCCAACATCTCCTTGTGCCCTCGGTCGGGAACTCGACCGAAGCACTCTTCGACACTCTTATCTCTCAGCGCGGTGGGAAATCTTTCCCCGTGCATACCACTTATCCTCCACAGGGTCACGGGGCGCCTGGAGATCATCCCACGGAACTTGGGGCACAAGGCGGGAGACACCCTGGACGGTATGTAGAACACTATGGACAGTTTGGAGATGCCGGTCAGATGACCAAGCATGTCCTTGTTTGCCGGAGGAAACCCCGAAGCACGGGGAGAACATGCACAACTCCGAGCACACAGGGTGGAGTTGGAATTCACTCCATGACCCCCACTGCAAGTTTTTCACCATTCTAGCCTTTCTTCCTTATCAGTTTCGACACGGTGTCCTGTTCTTCTCGATCCTTTGTTTGTTATTCTGTCGTCTCTTAGACATGTCTCTAGTAAATGCGAGCTACACGTGTGACTCATTTACGCCCAGGCCTACCTGCACAAGCACGTCGTACGTAATCTTCATCATTCACGCATGTCTAGTCTTTTATGGAACTTGAGCGAGTAAATGACTAAAAGGATATTCGACTTAAAACGGGCCGGTCTGACAAGAAAAAAAACAAAAGGACAATGAGGAACTCTCATATATTGTACAGATTTAGAGACGGCTTCCCGATTGTGTGGACAGAAGGAAGTAACGCTGCACGATGTTCCTACCTGTTAAAGGAACAAACGGTGTTCAGAAATCCGAAAATCATCCTGTTCGAGTGAAACCAGCTCGAGAAAGTAAGACTCGTCCTACTCTATTTCCCTGTCGGTACTCTTTCTATCACAACATCCGACGGTTAATCTTACTCGACAATAAAAAAAAAAAAAAAGTTCTTAAATGCTGAAGGCGCGTCACCGACGTTACAATCGTCCGCCATGTTTTCAGGGATCAAACCGTCACGTGCAAGGAGTTGTGGGTAATGTTAGCTGAAAAAGTGTCCGCGGACCCACGTTATGAAGATCTACCCTGGAAATACTAGACCATCCGGGTACTTTCGGGACACTCGTTTGAACGTGCTACGATTCGGGACACACACTCATTCTAATCTCGGGTACGGTTTAGGACGGATGCTAGGTGGGGCGCACGGTAGCTTACGGGTCGGGGGTTTGATTCCCGCCACTACCCTGTGTGTGTGTGCGGAGTTTGCATGTTCTCCCCGTGCTGCGGGGGTTTCCTCCGGGTACTCCGGTTTCCTCCCCCAGTCCAAAGACATGCATGGTAGGTTGATTGGCGTGTCTAAATTGTCCATAGTGTATGAACGTGTGTGTGAGTGTGTATGTGAGTGTGCCCTGCAATGGACTGGCACCCTGTCCAGGGTGTACCCCGCCTCGTGCCCCATGCTCCCTGGGATAGACTCCAGGTTCCCCATTCCCCATGTATGGATGGATGGACGGATGCTAGGTAAATCGGGACGCAGTTGGAGGAATGTATACAGAACCTGTAAAGATCGCCTTATAGGGACAACCGAAGAACCTTTAAGGGTTCTGGATGGAACGTTTCTTGCGTTGTAACGTTACGATAGATCTCTAACCAGGGGTGTCCGATCTTATCCGGAAAGTTCCGGTGTGGGTTCAGGTTTTTATTCCAACCGAGCAGAAGCCACACCTCTACAAGTCTACTGAAAGCCAAGATCCACTGTTTAAACTGGTAGAATCCGGTGTGGCTCCTGCTTGACTGGAATGAAAACCCGCACCCACACCGGCGCGTTCCGGATAAGATCGGACACGCCTGATCTTAACTGTGAACGAGTGTTCAAAGTTACACTCGTTTTACAATTTAATGATTATATTGGTCACCTTATAAGGCCTAAATTATATAATCATAGCTCTGATTAAATCAGATTGGACCAGTGCTATGGCATAGCTCAAGATCTGATTAGATTCGCCATACAAGGATTTATCAAATAAAACCGCGTGTGTGTGTGTGTGTGTGTGTTTTAATGAACTGTTTAATGTACCACTGCAAGAGCTTACTACCTCATTTTGATGCAGAACGATCATAAACTTGACTTTCCTCTCATGCTGCAGTATCAAACAACGTCTGCGACCGTACGCCGTGAAATCTTTCCGAACGATTGTTGCGTCTTGATGTTTTAACACTTTCTTTGTTGACGAGTGTTTTTCTTGCACTTAAGGGCACTGCGTTCCTTTCTCAAAAAAGTTTTCCCCTTAAGCTTAATTTGGCACACGTGCGATTATCGTACTGGCTTTGTGATGATCGTGGATTAGATTTCCTAGTAGGCCGTGTGTTCCACATGCAAATCTGATCCGGATTTAAAAACGCTCGCTGGGATGCGGTTATAGGAAAATAAACGGCAGGTCGGTATGAGGTAGCGGAGTTACTGTCACCACGCGGACGTTGATTATTTTCCCATAACAACGCATCCTGAAGTGTTTTATTCCCCCTATACCACAGGAGTTTGCCGACAATTACAATTTTTAGTTATTTAAACTATAACGCACCGTACTTTTTTTTTTTCTTTTCTCCACGAGACACATTTATACTGTTCGTACTTATGTTACAGCAGCTAAACGTGGTCAACCTTCTCGCTCGTGAAGTGCTAGTTCTATTGTCTTTCTAGTTTCACAATCACTTACCTGCTTATCCATCAGGGTCACGGGGAACCTGGAGCCTATGCCGTGGAGCATAGCGCATGAGGCGGGGTACACGCTGGACGGGGTTCCAATCCATCGCAGGGGATGGACACTCGCATACACACTCACATTCACACACCTATTCGTACACTACGGACACTCTGGACGTGTCAATCAGCCTAACGTACGTGTCTTTGGACTGCGGGAGGAAACCGGAGTACCCGGAGGAAACCCCCGCAGCACGAGGTAGAACATGCAAACTCCGAACACACGGGGCAGCGGCGGGACTCGAACCCCCGACCCTGGAGGTGTGAGGCGAATGTAAAAAAAAAAAACCCCAAAAACACACGATTTTCAATTTCTTTTTATTAACCAAGGACAAGACAAGACATAAATATGACGTTTCTTTATATAACATTCTTTGCTTATGTATGTGTGTATATATATATATAAAAAAAAATAGACAGTAAATGTTTAAAAAATCTAACAAACCCCAGCTCTTGATGTGGCCACAGCTAGAAACATGAAGCAACATACTGTTCCGTAATTAAAGGCCTTAGGAAGGAGCAGCTTTTCTCGTTCCGTTCATTTGACACTCAATTCGTTTTTAAGTAAACTCTCTCATTCCTCGGCATGACTCGACACGCCACTGACTCACGGACGTCTTAGTCAGGTCTCGATGAAGAGCAAACAATCCGCTCGGATAAACCTAACACTGGAGAAGAAGCACGGATCTGCTCGTTCTCGCGACTGTGTAGCACCGGATGCACGTTCACGTTAGTGCTGCGTTTACCCGACTCTTCTCCGTATGATGATTATTATTATTATTATTTTTATTTGCTACGGATGTTCTGAAACCTTCTC